CCCTGCTCGGGGCCATTTGCTGGGTGTTTCCCCTCCTTGTTGGTTCTCCTGTAATAAACCCACAGTTTACCCCCAGCAAGTGGTCGCCTCCTAATTCGTCTCTCACCGCGCTGCTCCGAGCTATCCCCCAGCTCAGCCCGAGGCCAGGAGGGGAATGAGAGAGGATTTGGGGGGCTGGGAGGGGAATCAGAGGGGATTTGGGGGGCTGGGAGGGGAATTAGAGAGGATTTGGGGGGATTTGGGGGTTGGAGTGAAGGTTTGGGGGTGGCGGTGGTGGGGAGGAGGATGGAGATGAACTGGTTCAAATGGGGTGATCCCAGTCCAAAATGGGGTTATCCCAGTTCAAATGGGTTTATACTCAGTTCAAACGGGGTTATCCCAGTTCAAACTGCATTATTCCCAGTTCAAATGGGGTTATCCCAGTTCAAAATGGGGTTATCCCAGTTTAAAACAGGGTTAAATTATCCCAGTTCAAAATGGGGTTATTTCCACTGACCCCAAAGTTTCTCCAAAAGCAACCCTGAAGTGTCCCCACAATGACCCTGCAGTGTCCCCAAAGTGACCTCAAATGTCCCTAAAGTGTTCCCAAAAACTGACCCCTAAGTGTCCTCAAACTGACCCTGAAGTGCCCCCAAAAATGGCCTCAACATGACCCTGAAGTGCCCCAAAAAGTGACCCCAAAGTGCCCCCACAGGTGAAATGGGACCATTTCCCAGGGCCTGAAGGACAGAACCCCATCCCAAACCCCAAACCCCAAATCCCAAACCCCAAACCTGGGGGTGCCCCCACCTCCCAAACCCCAAATCTGGGGGTGCCCCCACCTCCCAAAACCCAAATCCCAAACCCAAACCCCAAATCCCAAAACTCCAAATCCCAAACCCCAAATCTGGGGGTGCCCGCACCTCCCAAATCCCAAACCCAAACCCCAAATCCCAAAACTCCAAATTTGGGGGTGTCCCCACCTCTTTGAGCGTGAAGGAGTCGCCCTGGGCGCCCCCAGCCCGCAGGATCCTCAGCAGGGGCAGCGAGGGAACCACCTGGGAAATATCCAATAAACACAGAAATTATAAATAAATAAAAATTTATAAATAATATTTCTAGAAAAACACTAAATGGTAAATATGTGATAAATATAGAAATGTATAAATACATAGAAATGATAAATATTTTCCCACTATTTATCAATATTTCCCCACTATTTACCAATACTAAGTGGTAAATATTTGATAAATATATGATAAATATATAAGTATATGTAAATATATAGAAATGATAAATATTTCCCCACTATTTATCAATATTTCCCCACTATCTACCAATACTAAGTGGTAAATATTTGATAAATACATAAATATAAATATATATAAATGATAGCTACTTTCCCCACTATTTATCAATATTTCCCCACTATTTATCAATATTTCCCCCCTATATACCAATACTAAATGCTAAATATTTGACAAATATAAAAATATATAAATACATAGAAATGATAAATATTTTCCCACTAATTATCAATATTTCCCCACTATTTATCAATATCTTCCCACTAATTATCAATATTTTCCTGCTATTTATCAATACTAAATAGTAAATATTTGATAAATATATAAATATATATAAATGATAAATATTTTCCCAGTATTTAGCAGTACTAAATGGTAAGTATTTGATAAATATAGATATATATAAATATATAGAAATTTAAAGTATTTTCCCACTATTTATCAATATTTCCCCACTATTTACCAATACTAAATGGTAAATATTTGATTTATAGATAACTATATAAATATATAGAAATAATCAATATTCCCCCACTATTTACCAATACTAAATAGTAAATATTTGCTAAATATAAAAATATATAAAAATATAGACATGATAAATATTTCCCCACTATCTACCAATACTAAGTGGCAAATATTTGATAAATATATAAATTATAAATATTTTCCCCACTAATTATCAACATTTCCCCATGATTTACCAATATTAAATGGTGAATATTTGATAAACACATAAATATATAAATATATATAAATTTTAAATATTTCCCACTATTTATCAATAATTCCCCACTACTTACCAATACTAAATGGTAAATATTTGATAAATAGAGTAATGATAAATAAATAAAAATATATAAATAACATTTATAGAAAATACTAAATGGTAAATATTTGATAAATATAGAAATTATAAATATATTAAAATATATAAATAATGGTTATAGAAAATATATAAATATATATGAATACAGAAAAGTTATCAATATTTCCCCACTATTTATCCATACTAAATGGTAAATATTTGATAAATATATAAATATATATAAATTATAAATATTTCTCCAGTATTTACCAATACGAAATTCCATGTTTTTATATGCTTTTAAATACATTTTTTCCCTTGAAAATATTCCTAAATCGTGGATCTGAAACAGCACTAATTCCTTGAGGTAAATCCAAATTTTTTAATGATAAATCCCAATTTATTTTAGGATAAATACCATTTTTTTTTAGGATAAATCCCAATGTTTTTTAGGATAAATCCCAATGTTTTTTTAGGATAAATCCCAATTTTTTTTTAGGATAAATCCCAATTTTTTTTAGCAAAAATCCCAATTTTTTGAGGATAAATTCTCCAAATTTAAACATATTTTAAATTTCATAAAAATCACCGCTCTGAGGAGGAAATAACACAGCTAAATGATGGAGTGAGGGGTGATTAGCTGCTAATTAATTGCTAATTACCTGATTGGCTTGGCCCAGGGGGATCCTGCTGGAATTTGGGAAGCTCATCCTGGCAGTGAGGAGCTGTTCAAGCACCGACCTGCAAATGGAATTTTAAGGTTAAAATCAACCTTTTTAAAAATTTCAAATTTAAAATTTAAAATAATAAATCAATTTAAAAGAACAAAATTTCAAATTTAAAATTTTAATTTTTAATCCTGCCTTGGGTCTCTCCCACTTTGTGCTGCTCCAGGGGGAAGGTGAGGAAAAAGGGAAAATAAAATAAAATAAAAGGAAAAAATATTTGGGAAGGGTTGGTTCGAGCACATCAAATATTCAAATTTCTAAATTATAATTCAGATTATAGCAGCTTCAATCCCTTCATATTTCCTTAAATTTTAAGCGATTTCTGAGGGGAAAAAATTAAAATATTGACCCCAAACAACTTTAAAAAGAGCTGGACAGAGTAGACTCAAACTTATAAAATATTTAAATATGTGAGGAACATCGACAATTAACTGGAATAATTCAGATTATAACAGCTTTAGCCCTTCCCAGTTCATATTTCCCTAAATTTTAACCAATTTCTGAGGGAAAAAATTAAAATATTGACCACAAACAACCTTAAAATGAGCTGGACAGGGCTGAGTCAAACTTATAAATATTTAAGTTTATGAAAATCATAGAAAGTGACCTGGAATAATTCAGATTATAGCAGCTTTAATCCCTTCCCCAGTTCATATTTCCTTAATTTTTAACCGATTTCTGAGGGAAAAAAACCCAAAATATTGACCAAAAACACCCTGAAAATGACCCGGAAAGGGTTGAGTGAAACTTAGTAAATATTTAAATTTATGAGGAGCATCGACAGTGACCTGGAATAATTCAGATTATAACAGCTTTCCTCCCTTACCCAGTTCATATTTCCTTAATTTTTACCCGATTTCTGAGGGAAAAAATTAAAATATTGACCACAAACAATTTTAAAATGAGCTGGAGAGGACAGACTCAAACTTAATAAATATTTAAAGTTATTATGTGACCCGGAATAATCCAAATTATAACAGCTTTACTCCCTTCACCAGTTCATATTTCCTTAATTTTTAACCGATTTCTGAGGGGAAAAAATGAAAATATTGACCACAAACAACCTTAAAATGAGCTGGACAGGGCTGATTCAAATTTAATAAATATTTAAATTTGTGAAGAGCATCGGCAATTAACTGGAATAATTCAGATTATAACAGATTTAATCCCTTCCCCAGTTCATATTTCCTTAAATTTTAACCGATTTCTGAGGGAAAAAATTAAAATATTGACCAAAAACACCCTGAAAATGACCCGGACAGGGTTGAGTGAAACTTAGTAAATATTTAAATTTATGAGGAGCATTGACAGTTACTTGGAATAATCCAAATTATAACAGCTTCACTCCCTTCACCAGTTCATATTTCCTTAATTTTTAACCGATTTCTGAGGGGAAAAAATGAAAATATTGATCACAAATCCCTTTAAAATCAGCTGGACAGGGTTGAGTCAAATTTAGTAAATATTTAAATTTGTGAGGAGCACTGACAGTTACTTGGAATAATTCAGATTATAGCAGCTTCCCTCCCTTACCCAGTTCATATTTCCCTAATTTTTAACCGATTTCTGAGGGAAAAAAACCCAAAATATTGACCAAAAACACCCTGAAAATGACCCGGACAGGGTTGAGTGAAACTTAGTAAATATTTAAATTTATGAGAAGCATCGACAGTGACCTGGAATAATTCAAATTATAACAGCTTTACTCCATTCACCAGTTCATATTTCCTTAATTTTTAACCAATTTCTGAGGGGAAAAAATGAAAATATTGACCACAAACAACTTTAAAATGAGCTGGAGAGGACAGACTCAAACTTAATAAATATTTAAAGTTATTATGTGACCTGGAATAATCCAAATTACAACAGCTTCACTCCCTTCACCAGTTCATATTTCCTTCATTTTTAACCAATTTCTGAGGGAAAAAATTAAAATATTGACCACAAACAACTTAAAAATGAGCTGTACAGGGCTGATTCAAACTTAATAAATATTTAAATTTCTTTAGAGCATCGACAATTAACTGGAATAATTCAGATTATAACAGCTTTAGCCCTTCCCAGTTCATATTTCCTTAAATTTTAACCAATTTCTGAGGGAAAAAATTAAAATATCGACCAAAAACAACTTTAAAATAAGCTGTACAGGGTTGATTCAAACTTAATAAATATTTAAATTTGTGAAGAGCATCGACAATTAACTGGAATAATTCAGATTATAACAGCTTCAATCCCTTCACCAGTTCATATTTCCTTAATTTTTAACCGATTTCTGAGGGAAAAAAACCAAAATATTGACTAAAAACACCCTGAAAATGACCCGGACAAGGTTGAGTGAAACTTAGTAAATATTTAAATATGTGAGGAACATCGACAGTGACCTGGAATAATTCAGATTATAACAGCTTTAATCCCTTCCCCAGTTAATATTTCCCTAAATTTTTACCCAATTTCTGAGGGAAAAAATTAAAATATTGACCACAAACAATCTTAAAATGAGCTGGACAGGGCTGATTCAAACTTAATAAATATTTAAATTTGTGAAGAGCATCGACAATTAACTGGAATAATTCACATTATAACAGCTTTAATCCCTTCCCCAGTTAATATTTCCTTAAATTTTAGCCAATTTCTGAGGGGAAAAAATGAAAATATTGACCACAAACAATTTTAAAATGAGCTGGAGAGGATAGACTCAAACTTAATAAATATTTAAAGTTATTATGTGACCTGGAATAATTCAGATTACAACAGCTTCCCTCCCTTACCCAGTTCATATTTCCTTCATTTTTAACCGATTTCTGAGGGGAAAAAATTAAAATATTGACCACAAACCCCTTTAAAATCAGCTGGATTTACCCACCTTGACTTTTTGTGCCTGGCAGGAATATCCTGGGATTATTTTCCCGGGATTTTACTGAGGGATAATTCCCGAGATTTTACAAAAATTCGCTTTTTTTCAAACCTCGCCCGAGGGAGGGACCGATAACGGCTGGGATGGGCTGAAAATCGGCTCGAAAAAAGGAAAAAATTCGGATTTTATCTCCCTCCCCTTTTCCTGGAAAGAAATTCACGGCTGATGGAGACGAATTTTAACCATTTCAGCGCTGATCGGATCGCTCAAAACCTCCGGGTTTTGCACAAAAATTAATTTTTTTAGACACTTTGCTTCTCATTAATATTAGGATTTAATCAGAAATTAACTTTGGCGTTAATTAAGATTCTGTTCGCGAGTTTTGAAATATTTTGGGGAGAAAAATATAATGAAATTTAGGGGTAAAGCCCCATTGAAAAGCTCCCACGCGGTGGAAATTCCTTTAAAAAATAAATGGAATTTTCTGCTTGGCAAGCTCGGAAATTTGGGATAATTCCAGTCATAAATCTGGGATAATTTCAATCCCAAATTTGGGATAATTTCACCTCCAAACCCCCATCCAAAAATGGATTTCCGGAGATTTTTAGGTGCTGAAAAGGAAATCGTGAATCACCCCCGAGTCATTGAGCTGAGCAAATTTTCCACTCCAAAATTTCACCCCAGACAGAGGAAATACTCATTTGCCTCTTTCATGACTAAAAAATGCCTTTTTTATGACTAAAAATTCCTTTTTTTTGAGTCACCAAAAACCCCCCCAAGAATAAAACCGCAGCTTTTTTAAAAACTGAAAAATCTCACCCGGCTGAAAAGTCAAATTAAAATTTATTCGAGCTTTGATGGTTTTTTTATTAAAGTCTAAATTGAATGAAAAAAAATAGTTTGTAAATTCCATTTGAAGTAGGAAAACAGCAGGGTTCAGGTGACAGCGATTTTTCCAGCTTTTAAATAAAGTAAAATATTGAAAATAAAGTTGGGATTTTAGGGAATTTTAGGTAAAACAGCCCTGAAGGGGAGGATTTAAACAGGCACTGATGCAATCATGAAGTCACTGATAAATTAATTAAATTTGTCCTCATCAGTCCCTGAGGGGTTTCATATCTTAAATTTCGCCCTTTTAATTTAAAATAAACTTTAAAAATTCTGATTTGTACCCGAGTTTTGTGGCTAGCACGATGAATTTGGAATTTTGGGCAAATTTTGGAGATTTTACCCCAAAACTGCCACCAAAATCTTGGGTAAAAATAAGATAAATCGAAAAAACGTTGAGCAATTGCTCCTTTGGTTGTGAAATGTTGCGAAAGCCGGGAGGAAAACCAAAAGTGACGAATTAAAATGACAAAAAAAGCGAATTTCCCTACAAATCTCCCTAAATCCCCGCAGGAATTTGGGATAAGGAAACACTTCCACCCCCCTCAATGTTCCTGATTTGTGGCTATTTTTATTTTAAGAGGAAAAAAATTGGCTTTTATTGGGGTTTTTCCACAAGAGTTGAGGCAGCTTAACCCAATAAAACAAAAGAAAATTTGTGGGATCAAACCCTCAGCTTTTATGGGGCGAAATTCTGGAAAAATGGAATTCCAGAGCGGTTTGGGATGGAAAAAACCTAGAAATTTCTCCTATTCCATAGATAGTGACAATTCAAAAATCGCAGGTTTTTCCAACTTCCTTTCAGGGATGGAGGGAGTGGAATTCTCT